GTCGAGACAGTAGTAGTGCTAGTCGTTAGTGGTAGTCGAGAGTTGGTTTGGCCTCTGGTTAGAGCAGTAGTGGGAATGGTCACAGTACCACTAGATGAGATGAGCACAAGTAAGCCCAGGACCACTGGTCAAGTTCCCAGGAAATGGTCTACGCTTGCCGGGTCTACGTAAGCATCACCGAAGACCCTCCTCAAGAGTAGGCTATCAGCCTCAATCGAGCGGTTGGTCAATCTCGATCGAGTGAGAGAACGATTAGCACTGCTAGTAAGCCCAGGACCACTGGTCAAGTTCCCAGGAAATGGTCTACGCTTGCCGGGTCTACGTAAACATCACCGAAGATCCTCCTCAAGGGTAGGCTATCAGCCTCAATCGAGCGGTTGGTCAATCTCGTGAGAGAACGATTAGCACTGCTAATCTAGCAGCCGCATATGAAACCCTTTTAAATCTTGATAGCTCGGTATTTCTCGGACTTTCTCAACCTAGTGGTTCGTGCACTTTACATGAGACCTGTTAAGGCACGCACTGCACGAGATGACTGTCTAGTAAAAGTCTCGCTAGGGTTGGATCGATCAGGACGGGTCCTGGATGTGCTTTGGGAGCTTGACATTGAACATGCGGGCGAAGATCTGCGGAAGTTCAATCTTACCCCAAGTTTGCTCACTTTCTACCCGAAAACCATACCGGAGTCCGGTAACCGGACCCAAGTTGCGGCCCGCAACTCTTGACAAGTCTGGTATTACGTAATTCACATACGCTGTATGACCCAGGAATCCCTTGCTTGATGGGGGGAGGGGTGAAATATCTAGTTTCTCCTCTAAGAGGGCCGCCCAGGCTTTTGCTCACGTTCGACCCAGAACAGTAGACTCAGTTACCTAGGATACAAACTGAAGTAGAACTCGGCCAGCCCCGGCCAGACTCGTATAACACTCTAAGACGACATGGCTACTATAGCGGGCCGAAGGCCCGCGATTTCCCTAGTTTAAACCACCCTATTTGGTATGACATACGTTGGGCCCGAAAGTGACATACGTTGGGCCCGTACAGCTGCGCCCCACTTCACGCCGTGGTGACGTGGGTCTTCAAAGCGAGGACAAAATTTCCAACATTGTTGACACATAAGTAAAGCAAGATTCGACCAAGTACGGCACCTCCCGAATACTCAGTTTTTTCTGAAGAGCCATTTGCTTTTGTCAAGCTTGAGAGGGAAAACAAGCAGTGGAATCTCCAAGAATGCCTGGGAGTAATCGAGAGATGAACGAGAGACTGCACCGTACAGTATCTCATATAATTTGTACGGATAACTGGAACGACTTACATCACCATGAACGGATCAACAAGACACTGAAAATACTTACTGAAAAAACTTAAGTATAGCAATTGAGCAGTCGGCGACACCATATCGCCAAGGTTACCAAACAATGACACGACATAGGGAACCGTTTTGCCCCGAGCTTGTCCAGTTCGTTTATCGGCTCTGCGGAATAGAGTACTTCTATAGCCAGCTTGCCTCAAGCTCAAGTTATTTATTGTGATCCACAATGCCTTGCGATTCCTCGAGTTCTCCCCAGCTACACGCCCCTTAGCTGGCGAGCGCATGTGCACGCCAGCTACAGCTGTTCAACTTGAATATATTCTATGACGATCCATGAGTAATTGTTGTTCAACTCGATCACGGCGGTCATCGTCATGCAACAGTGTTGCAGCAACACTCAACAGCTACTTCCAACTGGAATCCAGTTACTGGATGATTACGAATCGTAGTCGGTCGTAGTCTACGGTCGAATGTTACATTCATGCGGTTCATTCACACAGTGCTAACTAAGCCGTTATGCAATTCACTTTTCTGCGATAACTCGGAAGAGTCACTAATGACCTTTTTAAAAAAGGCTTTTTTGAGGGACAAAATGATAAAAATAGTAAAGAGCGATTGACAACGTTTCAGAACCGTTTCGTCACTGTTGAGAGCTCATATGAGCTTCAGTTTGACACAATATATTTCATATCATCTTACCAACACACGCATCGGATCTCATCGGGATTTCAACCAACAAATCTCTCACCTGCTTCGCTGAAACTTTCGAAAATTCCACGAAATTTACTACAATTTTCTGAACCCAAGTTCGGAGAAATGAGAGAATTTCAGCTCTAAGCTTGATCTGATACTTCAAAACCACATAAACTTTTCCTGGAATTTTTCAACACGACAGCTCTCGGCGAATATTCCATACCGCAATTCCACCACTTCCAAACCCATCCTCTTCACCATTTTCACATTCTCATTTGACACACATATAAGAGTCCTTCAACTCTTCATTCGCTCTTCCTTGTTACGCCGAATTCCCATACGGCTATACAAGCATTAGTTTTCACAGCCACTGAGGCCAACAGTCGATCATCATCATCAACAACATCATCATCAACAACATCATCATCAACAACAACAGTGTTCCACAAACAGGAGATTTCAATTATTGGAAAATACGATATCATTCAGTGAACTAGATATACTTAGCCTGATCATGTAAAATGCAAAATAGCACTGTTATTATAGCAGTATTGGAGTAGGAATATAGGTCGGACCTCTTAGGTCCGCTCTCCTTAGCTGAGCTCAGGAGTTCCCAAAGCTAATTATAGAAGTGTAGGGAGACGTGTACATAAACCAATGAGAATGTCCAAAATTTCATGAGAATTTCCATATCGTCGCCAACACGCGCAGTTAACCATGTGCATATCTCACCCCACACTGCAAAATGAACCACGGCATAGATCGATCCCATCGCAACGCAACGCTGGAATTTCGCCATCTCCATTTCCTTTGAAAAACTTGCAAATCTTGAATCACCTTGCATTTCCTCAACGTCACTATGCTAAGGCTGCAGAACTATGAAACCTATAAAGAACGCTCCCCTTTTCTATCTCGTGCATCGTATTGGTCGTTTTGGTATTCTCTCCTGAGTCACTTTGGTTCGCCCTTGATTCTCTTTGTATCAGTCAGTGTTTTACTTGCATTCAAATAACAGCATGTCAACCACTTCTCGCCGAAGTAAGCTCAAAGGCTTGTGCCCCCTTCCCGCTTCATTTCTATCATTTTCAGCTGCTGAGGTCCTATTGATGATCGCCTTGGTCATCTTCACCTGTGGTGCCTGGTCTAACAACGGTCCGGCTCTTGAATGGCTCACCGTCCTCATTTTCTTCTTCTCCATCTACATCACTGGTGAGCGCTACGATGATGGGGAATGCCCCTCTGTGGAATTGTCATCATCAGATTTGGTCTTCTTCCCCGTGGATAAGGCCTTCATTCACGACCCTTTCTATTCGACATATGCCAAGCTCACAGATCCCCACTACGAGACCAATCCCTACAACTAAGTAAGTCTCAAAATCTTCGGTGTGCGCGCAGTGGTATCTTTCAGGTACTAAGTGCTTTCGAGGGCATGGCTCCTTAGTTGAACCTTTGTGAAGCTTCCCCCCTCGCCGGTCTCAGCCTCCTTCAGCTGTTAATATGCGACTTTTTTGATTCATTTACCATAGTTGGCGATGGAAAAGTCGTTGTTGTTGACAGTGTTGTCGGTTTGCAGACCCCGTGGTTGGGTTGCGCGATTTTTTCGCTACTTCGTCGTCGTATTCCTGTACCCTTGCTGAGAAGGAGAGTTCGTGTGACCGCTGTATAGCATCTTACGCGTTAATCCGTAGATTCTCATTCTCTGTTGAGTTAATGCTAGTGTGAGTATTGAGAGTTTGTGACTATCAGTCTGACGTACAACGTCATTGGCTCGTGTAATGTAGTTGTCTTATAGGATAGGAACTCTAGCAAAAGGATGTGGGGGGTGAATGCTTTGCATTTCTCATTGATCACATTGTTGAGTTACTGTTAGTGTGAGTGTTGGTTTGGCCCACTGTGACGGGTGGCTTCTGCAACTTTCCGCTGTGTGTGACGTATTTCGTAGTGTAGCTGTTTCATAGGGAATGAACTCAAGCAGAAGGATGTGGGAGTAGGTCTACGGTTATGTATTTCTCAATTACAGTGAGCGTTATACTTTCATCATCAGAAGTACAATACTGAAAGGTTTTGTAGTTCATACTGTTGATGATATTTCTCTATAGCATCACAGAGAACATATAGAACCGTAATTCTGGAATTTCCAACCATCATTGATATAGACGTAGTCTGTTGTGACGGAAAATTTCTAGGTGCGAGGATCGAACCAGGGGCATATTTCACAAGCGTCCTAATGTTAGGATTTTAACCCATTAGGATGCAATTGAAGGATAAATGGCGTTCACAAGGGCCCTTTCCTTAGGTTAGGTTAGGACTTTAGGACATTAGGATCCTTACCGTTAGGATTTAGGATATTAGGATGCCTTTATCCTCGAAAACAGGCTGTTAGGACGCTCGGCTTTCACAAGCTATATTTTCAAGGAAATTTTCATCCTAATAGTAAAGTACCTCGGGGGGTACTTTACCGACCATCCTAACGTTAAAGGTGTACAAGACGACTCGCTACGTTTCGCCAAACAGTCGTTGGTTCGAAACTCCGCAAGTACATTTTTAAATTTATTTGTAACTTGAACAAAAAATCTTACAACTATTAACAAAACTCTTTACCAAGTTCGATACTTATCTGAAGCTTATAAACTTCGTATGAAACTCCTTACAAATGCTTATCTTCGGTAGAGTCAAGCCTTTTTTTACTGCAAGACCCCTCCATATCAGAAAACGTTAAGATCCATGGTGGTCCATTACTGGATCATCCATTTCGCGTATCAGTTGATAATAAAAGTGGTTTTATCTGTAGAATCTGCTGGATGGCGCCTTGAGGCACTATCCTTGTGGTACTATCCCGTGGGTCGATGAACGGATTCGTGTTTCGATTATAGTAAGTATAAAATGGTAGGGTGGTAAAGTTTGCGATTGGTGTTCGACCGATCCAGGTTCGATTCGTAGTTGTATAATGTTTTACGTTGTGTTTAATTGCCGTTAGGAATCCTAACATCCTCAGTTAGCACGTCCTTACGTTAGGTAAGGTTGTCTTTAAGTATAGGATCCTAACGTTAGGTTAGGAAAATCTTGTGAAATAGCCTTAGTTAGGTAAGGACGTCCTAAGGTAAAAATCCTATACGTAAAGACGTCCTAATCTAAGGACGCTTATGAAATAGGCCCCAGGAATCTACTTCTGAAAAGGGAAACCTTTTAACCATTAGACTAGTAGAACTGCTGGTTTGTGCCGTGGCTCGTCGATGGGGTAATTGCTCCAGACTTACTCCCTCACCAGGTTGAAACAGTCTTACTCTACTGCAATGTTCTCGTCAATTCAATCGCTATGACGGCCCCCTATGCACAATGACCAAGTGATTATTTGATGTTGTAGTAGTGACTATCTCGTAGCTTTAATACTCATCGCCGTAGACATCAGGAAAGCTACAAGCATTCCCATGATGCTTGGTGTAATCCGCTAAGAATTTTAGAGAGGCGCCATGCATTTGCTGGAGACAGAACGAACCCAGCGCAGGAAATCAGCCCGCGAAAAGATCTTCCAAAATGCACCTTCAGGTTGACGCTTACCAACGTGTTCATCATTTTGTCCTGCTGGTGCAAAGTACACTACTCAATAGTGCGGTTAGCACCCTACAGTATACGCGAAGTTGAGTCCATCTCGTGTCTTCATAATTCACGCCGAATCCGTCAGGAAATGCTACAAACGTTTTACATCATGCATTGTCACCAATCCTTCGTGTTATTTGCGAACGAATTTCAAGCAACTTCATATACAGTGCGAACCAAACCGTTATGCAAATGACTTTTTTTGAGGTTACTAGGGGAGTTCACCCATGACCTTAGGAAGGCATGATGACATTTAGTAAGACTCAATTTATAACGTTCCAGAATCGTAGAGATTCCCAGAATGATTTTTTATTCTTCCTAATTTTCAATCCTTCAATGGTTAATCAGCATTCTCTTCAAGCTGTCTTATTCACAATCAGGACATTCTCTCTCGCACATGTACGTGCCGCTAATCTCACAATTTTTCTCAATAACAGTAACCCTGTGGGTCGCATTTAGATGCACAGTCTCAATTTGATACTCGCATTATTCGAAAACCTTTAGCCGATCGCACAGCTCGAAATTACACGTTATTTCCCCCTGAACTCAGAATAGGCTCTACACGGGCAGATTACGCTCGTTGTATATACCCGTATGGATGCCTCACTAACGGTTAACACAAAGCAGACCTCTTCAGTGCAGAAACGAAAATGAAGAAACACTAGACAGTGGCCGTACCGCTGGGACGTTTGCTGCCCTCTTTCTTCTGATTATCCTACAAACAGTAAAAATTGAACCTCATCCGTATCTTACCATGACAACCTCAAGATTCTCCCGACCCGTACTCACCCAAAACATTTGCGAGACCGATTTCTGTTCGTAGATTTGCAACATCACTTCAGCCAAAACTTGACCCAAAGAAAGCACCTGTGAATATCCAACTACAAATCGATCACCTGATCGATTCCAACTTACTCTGATTTTTTCACATTTCCGAGCCTGCTCCGGGAATGGTAACGAGTTAGTAATAACCACCTCGGTCACTCCTCTACGGTTGATGCGCTCCATCGCGGCCGGCGACAACACGCCGTGCGTGGCGTACATATAAATTCTAAGACATAACATTTATAAACATAGAAACCTAAGTATATGCAGTAAATTCACAATTTTTTTCCGAAAAAAATCAAATCTCGACATAAAAATTCGTCAACACAAAACGTTTTTCCGTAACTTAAAAATTATATCATGCAACCTTTTATAGATTTTTTCCCAATTATGAATATTTTCTGAAAAAAATCTCGAGATGATAAATTTCCCAATAATTAACCTAACAAGAACGGCTGTGATGGTTACCTTCTAGCACCGTGTTGTCGCAGTTCTTCCACCGTGCGTGACATCCGCTTCCCGCTGTCGATGATGTCATCAACGATAATGCAATCACGACCTTCAACTGAAAAACAAAAGGCAGTG